TTCAAAAAATAACCACCGGGTGTCGCTATTACATGCATTCAATTAAGCAGCAGTTCTTGTTATGATCTATCTGTCTGCCTGTCTGTCTGTCTGTCTGTCGGTCTATCTATCTATCTAATTATCTATCTATCTATCTATCTATCTATCTATCTATCTATCTATCTATCTATCTATCTATCTACACACAGTTGAATTATTAGCCCCTCTTTGATTTATTTCTTCTTTTTTAAATATTTCCCAAATAATGTTTAACAGAGCAAGGACATTTTTACAGTATGTCTGATAATATTTTTTCTTTTGGAGAAAGACTTTTGTTTTATTTCGGCTAGAATAAAAAGCGGTTTAAATTTTTTTTATGAACCATTTTAAGGTCAAAATTATTAGCCCCTTAAGTCTTCAGAACAAACCATTGTTATAAAATAACTTGCCTAATTACCTTGACTTAACAAGTTAACTTGCTTAACCTAGTTAAGCCTTTAAATGTCACTTTAAGCTGTATAGAAGTGTCTTAAAAATATCCAGTCAAATATTATTTATTGTCATCATGGCAAAGATAAAATAAATCAGTTATTAGAAATGAGTTACTAAAACTAATATGTTTAGAAATGTGTGGAAAAAAATCTTCTCTCCGTTAAACAGAAATTGGGGAAAAAATAAACGGGGGCTAATAATTTAGGGGGGCTAACAACTCTGACTTCAACTGTATTTATATATATATATATGCGTGTCTGTGTGATGTATGTAAAATTTGGCCCGCGACAATGTTTGTTTTTTTTGCATCTGGCCCTCAGACCAAAAAGTTTGGACACCCCTGCCTTAGGGGAATGGAACGACATGTGAGTGAGTAATTAATAACAGAACTTTCTTTTTTGGCTGAACTTTCCCTTTAACGTGCACCTCGGTAGAGCGTGTTCTTGTTGTGTCTAAATACGAATTATATCCAATAAGAGAAAATATTTAGTTTTGCCATTTAAAGAAGAAGACCTTCACATGGTGACACCAGTCAGAAAATGTGCATATTCGACGACTCTGCTTTACCTCTCCTCTTTTGTAGACATCTCCTCTATGAGATACATGTAATTGCAAACATCCAGAAATGGAACCAGCCCACTTGCTTGTTCTCAAAGCTTGGGTAAACTTACGAATGGCGCCTGTTGGGAAAAAACAGGATCTTTGGTACATGCGTTCTCCATTTCTTCACATCGCCCTGGTGTGTGATTGCTCCTGTAGAGTTTCCTGGTGGCTTGTAATCCATTTCATAGTTCCTCAGGAACAAATTCCACAGGTGAGCGTTTGTATCAAGTTTTATAGACCAGCAATGGAGGGTATGGAAAATTGACATCTCCTGTTCACTCTTAAAGTACACATGAAATCAAAACTAACCATATTGATTTTGTTAGCTTGCATTGCTAGCTTCGTGGCGAACAATTGGTCTGTGCATGTCATTAAGAGAAAAATCCTTTAATTGAAATCTGAAAATGCACTTCCTCAGATTACATCTGTCTGAGGTAATGGGCGTGGCTAACATACGTAACCACACCCTTTCCAACTGTCAGTTTTGACAACTAACAGAAACGGTGAGAAGGAGGTGTCTGATTGGCTCTCTCCCAACCCATTTCCCCACCCTTCTGAATGAAATGCCCACTTTACTACATCCAATCAGCTCGTAGTAAAGAAAAACAAGCCACGCCCACTGTTTAATATATTGTTTCTCTAGGAAGTGCATCACAATACAAAAAAAAAATGTCCGCAGCTTCCAGTTCCTGTGGACTTTAAGTAGTTCACTTACAAGTTACACACTAGGCCGTGGAGGTGGGCGGTCTGGAGGCGGAGCTCTGCTTGGGGGTGGGGCTTGAGGGGGGGGAGGCAGGGAGGAAGTGGGTGAAGGTGGAAGGGAGGGCAGAGCAAAGTAGAGGGTGGTAGGAGGCGGAGACCAGACGGGAGGCGGAGAATATGATGGAGGAGGAGTAATGGGTGGAGGCGGGTTGATGGCGTGGGGTGGAGGAGATGAAGGCATTGAAGGAATGCTGCCGGACAGGGAGGCTGGTGGACTGTGTGGTGGAGGGGGCAGGTGGCCCTGTGGAGGCGGTGGGTTGAGGGTCCGCGGGGGCGTGTAGATGGGGGAGGAATGATGGTTGTAGGATGGATACCGCGGTGGAGGATTGGACTTGATGCGGGTGAAGTTCATACAGCGGCCCTGAGGGAACGAGAAGAGAGAAATATTTAGAGAAAACAATAATACTTTATGAAGAAAATGCATTGTTGTGGTTTCTTGTTGCTATGCGACAACTAACATTGAAATATGATAAACGACAACATATGAAAGTTACACATATGACATACAAGGTAATATTTGTATTTCACATATACAGATGATGTTTTAGTTTATTTTTCAAATATTTCCCAAATTATGTTTACCAGAGCAAGGAAATTTTCAAAGTATGTCTGATAATATTTTTTTCCTCTGGAGAAAGTCTTATTTGATTTATTTTGGCTAGAATAAAAGCAGTTTTAATTTTTTAAAACCATTTTAAGGTCAATATTATTGGCCGCCTAAGCAATATTTTTTTCGATTGTCTACAGAACAACCCATCATTATACAATGACTTGCCTAATTACCCTCACTTAATAAACCTAATTAAGCCGTTAAAATGTCACTTTAAGCTAAATACTGGTAGCTTGAAAAATCTGCCATCATGGCAAAGATAAAAGAAATCGGTTATTAAGAATGAGTTTTTAAAACTATTATATTTAGAAATGTGTTGAGAAAAACTTATTTGCGTGAAACAGAAATATATACAGGGGCGCTAATAATTCAGGAGGGGTAATAATTCTGACTTAAACTGTATATTTTTTTTCAACCATTGGAATTACAAATATGTGCATATATGCTTACATATATTAGCTATATGTGTTTATATATGGCTTAATTGCTTGACAGTTTTATTGGCAGGCCGACGCAAAGAGCACTGTTGTATCAGACTGAAGGATTTTATTCTGCGAGAACAATCGCCTGGATGTACTTTATCCCTTTTATTACTCGACTTACCATAAAAATGTCAAAATTTGACACAAAAGACTGTTCTAAGCTGTAATATTTATTAACTCTTTAATTAAAGGCAATGCCGAGTATTCTGCCAGAAACCAAAGCAGAAAAACATGGAGCCGATGGAGTATACACTAACCGATGTATTATTCAGTCACAAGATGACGCTAAACATCGGAATGACAGACAAGCATATATGCGGAGGTGATCGTATTCACTGACAGTGAAGATGATTTCCCGTAGCTGAATGAGCCTGTATTATTAGCAATTGTGGAATAAAATGTTGTATTTTATTCTGCGAAAACAATCGCCTGGATGTACTTTATTCTGTTTATTACTCATCTAATTGCTATAAAATGTAAAAATTAGACAAAAAACTTTTTTCTGAGCTGTGATAGTTTATTAACTCTGTAATTAAAGTCAAAGACAAGTTATCTGACAGAAACCAAACCGGATGAATGGAGCATACACTAACCTATGTATTATTCACTCACAAGATGGCGCCAAACAGTCAAAAACAGTGGCATGACAGGCATACATATATATATATATATATATATATATATATATACATAAGAAAAACACCTTTAATGAAATTTGTCATTATACATTAGAAAACAGACTTAGAGCTTGATATGAAATCAGCCTCATATGGCAAAATCGTAAAAATATAACAACATGTCAGATAATCAATGTATTACATTATTTAATTCCAGTTCAGATGAAGTGTAGAAGCCCTTAACATCAGTCTTAAGTATCAAAAAACATGTGGTTGGGCAATGGCCAGCAATCATGATGGACTTTACCGTCATTAAATAACATGATAAACACAAACACTCAGAGGTAGACTAGAGCGGTGAGAGGCATGCTGGTCTGTAGGAAGCTGTAAATGCCAGACAAGCTTTAAAGACACGCAGAGGAAAAAGTTGTAGGTTGTTTACCAGAAACACTTAAGAAAATTAGAGAACTCGCTGTCCCAATTTCCTGTCAGCTAATGAAGAACTCCCCCACTGGCCTCAAATAAAGAGCGTACACACACACACACACACACACACACACACACACACACACACACACACACACACACACACACACACACACACACACACACACACAGATATTATTGGTTTTCAGCAACTCTCCTAATGTATTTTTTACTGTAAAAACGCATATTATATGGCCCTTTCCCAAAACTCAACCCTAACAGGTAAACTGTGGCAATCAGTAAATACGTTAACATCCATATACTTACATCTAAAGTACATTGGTAATTATCTGCTTGTCTGTCACGCTGCTGTTTTTAACAGATTTTTACTGTTTGGCACCATGTTGTGAATGAATAATATGTAGGTTAGTCTATCCTCCATTCAACCAGTTTCACTTTTGTCAGCTTTGCATTTTTTATTGTTTGGTGTCATCTTGTGTCTGAATAATGCACAGGTTAGTGTATGCTCCATCTGCTGTTTTTGTTTCTGTTAGCTTTGCACTTTTGATTGTTTGGCGCCATCTTGCGACTGAATAATGCACAGGCTATTGTATGCTCCATCAGCTGTTTTTGTTTTTGTTCGTTTTACGTTTTTACTTGTTTGGCGCCATCTTGTGACTGAATAATTCGCAGGTTAGTGTATGCTCCATCAGCTGTTTTTGTTGTTGTCAGGTTTACGTTTTTACTTGTTTGGCGCCATCTTGTGACTGAATAATGTGCAGGTTAGTGTATACTCCATCAGCTGTTTTTGTTTTTGTCCGGTTTACATTTTTACTTGTTTGGCGCCATCTTGTGACTGAATAATGCGCAGGTTAGTGTATACTCCATCAGCTGTTTTTGTTTCTGTCAGCTTTGTGTTTTTAATTGTTTTGGTGCCATCTTGTGACTGAATAATGCGCAGGTTAGTGTATACTCCATCAGCTGTTTTTGTTTCTGTCAGCTTTGTGTTTTTAATTGTTTTGGTGCCATCTTGTGACTGAATAATGTACAGGTTAGTGTATGCTCCATCAGCTGTTTTCGTTTCTGTCAGCTTTGTGTTTTTAATTGTTTTGGCGCCATCTTGTGACTGAATAATGCGCAGGTTAGTGTATGCTCCATCAGCTGTTTTCGTTTCAGACAGCTTTTTTAAATTACAGAATTAATAAACTGTTACAGCTCAGAAAAAATGTTTTGTATCAAATATTTATGTTTTGTGGCAAGAAGCCATATATTAAACCAACCGAATAAAGCACATCCAGGATGTTTTTTTTTTTTTTGTTTTTTTTTTTACAGAATAAAGACCTTTTGGCTTTAGACTGCATATAATTGTGTCAGGTTTTATTTTGCAACAACAATCTCCTGGATGTAGTTTATCCATAACACAGCATATCTTGGAGTGTCGTGATTGACCAGTCAGAATCAAGTATTTCAGACAGCTGATAATAAAGTGAAACACTTGAACATGTTTGCTCTTTCTCTTTGATTTTTCATCCTCTGTTTTCTTTCCTAAATCAAACAGTACGAACATCCTCCTCTACTTTGCCTGCACTCTTCATGACAGCAGGCTTGTCTCCACTCTGTCTCTCTCAGAAGTAGTCGGGACAGAAGCCAGCTGAAGTTCCTTTTTAATTTTGTTGTCGCCAGACATTTTGCTAAATAACAACATGCCTACACTCATACCACTTCCTGTCACATCTAACTCCGAATTCCTCTTCCTCTGTTAATGTTCGCTCTTCATTCCCAGACTTTTGTCATCAAACTGCCACTATTTACTCGACTCCAGAGTGAGCAGAAAAAAGATCAGACTACAAATCAAATACATAATGACACTTTCCTGCTGAAAAGGAAGTATGATGTTATTCAACTAGTGCGCGTGTTTGACACATGTGCAAACAACTGGAGAAGATTTACATAGACTGCAGTCACCAGGCCCGGATTAAGAATTCAGAGGCCCCGGTGCTCAATGTCTTGTAGGCCCCATACCTGGCCGCACCCCTATAGTTGAATTAAAAAATAAGAATAATATCATTTTTTTAATTAAATGTATCTATATTGTATTGCCTGCATTTTTAAAATAAATGATATACAGTACATATATTTCTAGTCTACAAATATTTGACTTGTTTTTTTTAGTAATACAACTAGTAAAAATGAATGGATTTTAATATACTTGTTCAGGTTCACTGAAGCAGTACTAATAATGATATTTAAGGGTGTTTTTAATGTATAACTTTTACAAACTTGTAATGCAAATGATTTGGATTTAACACCTCTCCAATCCAGTTCTAGGAATCTGAGTCTTCCATAATACACACACTTATTAATGATTCCTACTTGTCTTCCTCGTGATGAAGAGTAGGCAAAATCTGATATGTGGGGGGAAAATGAAGAACGTCTTCATCAAACGCTGGATTCGAACGGGGTTCGAACTCACATTGCTGTTTGCCGCTCTTTTTAGTGATGTTGTCTCTGTCAATCAAATGGTGAAGGGTGGAAATCACTTGTTGGGAAAAAGTTCATTTATTTTTATTACTTTCGTGTCTTTATTTTTTTATTAGAAAAATATTTAGACTAACAACAGATTTATCAATCTTTCTCTTATGTATGAGATTACATATTGACCAGACACACTTCCTCTTTTTTACGGTGCTGCATACTTTTTTAAGGAACATGTTAAAATGTTGACAGGTATGAACATGTCATAAAACATTTACTGCACCTAACAACAAAAGCAACAAAAGTATAAATGCAACTGGAAAACTGACAAACGCTAAATGACAAGCACACCAGTATCAGAAAGTTGAGTAGTCTTTACTTTATCATATTACTTTGATATCTCCTCAAAGAATGTTGGCAAACATATACTATTCCAAGTAAAATATACTGTAAATAACACAAACAACTTCACTACACTTAAGTAAAATGCTTAAAACTCTGAGACAGATTGGGGACCTAAATGTAACTAGCCAGTTTAAGTCTGGAAGCCATTATGCCTCACTGTACGGCTCATCTGCTTCTAATTAGTAACAGATCCGTGTTGTTTAGTCATTTTGTACGTAGCATCAACTTGACCACACTGACTAGTTGGACAGAAGCGTTTGGCAGCAACTTGCCTTAAAGCTTGTTAATGTCCCACTCTGTTTTTGTTTTGTTTTGTAAAAAGCAAAGACGTCTTGATCCACTCAAA